CCCCAAAACCCCAAAACCCCAAAACCCCAAAACCCCAAAACCCCGAAGATATTACTAGTTAAATATAATAATTTAGGCAGGAATTCAAATATGAGCAAACCTAAGACCAGTGGCTCTGCCTTAGGGAGGTTCATGAACCTCTCAGAAAGCATCAACTCTCAAGGTCCAGTGTACAACGCCGATGAGGTCCAGCAAACCCAGACAAAGTTTCTTGATACCAAAGCGGAGAATCAGCCTACTTATTTTGAGTTTGAAGATGATCCTGAGCATAAAATTTTGAAAGCCAAGAAGCCCAATTCTATTAGCAACTTTAAAGGTGATATAGCTATAAACGATAAAATTGAAAAGGAGAGATCAGCCAGGAAAAGGATGAAAACTATCAGAGTAGAATCTTCTGTCCCAAGCAGTGTCTCTAAATCAAAATTTGAGGAGAAGCAAAGTTATAATCCCAGCCATGATGACTTTGACTTCAGCTCCAAGCCTGATGAGCCTGAGGAATCAGTGAAAGAGAAGAAGTCTACAGTTGAATCTAAGAAAAATGATGAACTCAAAGCAAAGAAAGCTAAAGAGGCGAAAGAAGACCGCAAAGCTCAGATTCTTGCTGAAATAATGAAATATGAAAAGATTGATGAAAATGCAGTGAAGATGAAGAAAGTAAAGAGGCCTTTTTACTGCATCGATCCTTTGAGTAATTTCCATTTAATTCATTGCTTGAGTGTATTAGTGAATATATTCATCATAATTATCTGGATCTCATTTGAATCTTCATACAATGACGAATTCTCATTCGTCATTCATATTGTATACATTGTGAACATATTTGACGTGGCCCTAACAGGTCTCACTGGAGTCTTGAACAGAGATAACCAAGTGGATTACAGCTTGCTATTTATCTGGAAGAATTATATTACTAGCTACTTCATACTTGACTTCTTCTGTGCTATTCCATTCGATTGGTTTATCTCAAAGATGCGACATCAGAGAACAATGAGATTATTCCAGACGACTAAAGCTTTTAAATACTTTTATTTTTCTATAATTTTAGATGGGACACTCCTAAAAGCCAGAATACAGCCAGGGACAATTAGATTTTTGAAGATCATATTCAATTTGCTCAGCATAGTCCAAGTATTCTCGTGTTCATTCCATATATTACATTATTATAATGTAGAGGATGAGAATTGGCTCAGGAACGGATCCTTTTCAGATGATGATACACTGCAAAAATATATGTTATCTCTCTTTTGGACTCTACAAACAATCACTACTGTAGGATATGGGACGATCACATTGACTAATTCGTTAGAAAAGCTGTACGCTATTATTGTAATTATCATTGGGGCCACTATTTACTCATTTATTGTCGGATCCATCTCTTCAAGTGTTCATAACAATGAAGAAAAATCAATTAAATTGCAAGATAAGCTCAAGGTCCTCAAAGAGATGGGTACCTTTGGAAATCTCCCTGATGAGTTACTTAAGAGAATCGAGAGATTCCTTAAAGAAAATATCACCATTAACGGTGTTGCTAGTGGGACCAGTAGAATTCCACTCCAAAAATGTCTCTCTGAGCTTCCTGAAAGACTTAAAATCGAGCTGATCCAGTACACTCATAGAGATATTATCAGGAAGAACTCATTCTTCTTTGGAAAACCACTAGAATTTGCTCTGAATGTTCTCTCAATTCAAAGAGAAATCACAGTTCCTTCTGACTACATGATGTACAAAAGAGGAGATCCAGCTGAAGAAGTATTCATAATATATAGTGGAAGTATTGTTCTATATTCTGAAGACTGGATTCCTTATGTAAAGTACTCAGCAGGAAGTTATTTTGGAGAAATAGAAGTCCTTTTTAAAGAAGAAGGAGCCCACAAGGATTACCATAACCGCTCCCTTTATGCATACACAGAAAATGGAGCTGTCTTCGGGGTTATAACCAGAGAGCAGCTCTCAAAGATCTTCAAAGATTTCAAGCAAGAAGAGGAAGACTTCCGCCAAATTGCCAAAGAAAGGAAGAGATGTATTGCAGAAAGGGCTCATCTCTTCGCTCATGATGCTGATCTCTCTCCAGATTTGATCGAAAAGAGAGATAGAGAACTCAAATTTGGGGAAGGTCGGAGGAAGAAACTTATGGACAAATTCGGAAGCTACATTTCATATAGACAGTTTATAGAAAACAAATACACTAAAGATAGCCTCAAAGGTAAGTTTCATCTAGATTTTATTATTTAGGTGCAGACTCTAAGACAAAGAAGTTGCTGACAAAAGAAAATTTAGTAAAGCCAGAGGATGAGATTATTAATCCAGACCCTGTACCTCTAATAGGAGAAGGAGCAAAGGATACAGTTCTTGACGTAATAGACTCGGATAAGGACATTGAAGAGCTTGATTATGATCAGGATGTCACCATCTCCACTACTCATTCAAACGCACAGCTAATAAATGACGTTTTAGAAGTTAGGAAGCAAGTTGAAAAGTTTAAAGAATTACTGGATGCTTCCTCTCATTTAATTCAAAAGCAATAAATTTACACTCAAAGATGTTTTTTGACATGGGGTTTTGGGGTTTTGGGGTTTTGGGGTTTTGGGGTTTTGGGG